AGGAGGAGGAGGAGGAGGAGGAGGAGGAGGAGGAGGAGGAGGGGGAGGGGGGGGAGGAGGGGGAGGAGGAGGAGGAGGAGGAGAGGAGGAGGAGGAGGAGGAGGAGGAGGAGAGGAGGGAGGGGGAGGGGGAGTGGGAGGGGGAGGGGGAGGAGGAGGAGGACGAGGAGGAGGAGGAAGAGGAGGAGGAGGAGGAGGAGGAGGAGGAGAGGAGGAGGAGGAGGGGAGGGGGAGGGGGAGGGGGAGGAGGAGGAGGACGAGGAGGAGGAGGATGAGGAGGCGGAGGAGGAGGAGGAGGAGGAGGAGGAGGCACTGGGATCTGTGAGGTCGGATAAAATGCCTGCTGTCGTCGACGGGCGTGCGCTCTCGGGCGCGGGCGGCGTGGGGCTCGAGGGGCCCGCGCGGCCTCGGCCGGGGGCGGCGCGGCGGCCGCCGCCCGATGCGGTGACGCGCGCGCGCCGTGCGGCCGCCCGCAGGCGGGCCTCCACGGACGTCGTCGTGCCCGTGGTCGTGCAGGGTAGTCGAAGGCCAGACTGTCAGACTGGATTGGGCCCCAAGGGCCAATCTGGCCTGGCCAAACTGGATGATTAGGGTTATTCGCCAGACTGGATTCGCGTTGGCTCCCTTGCCAGATTGCCCCCGTTTGCCAGATTGGGCCTGCCAGATTGGCGCCAGATTGGCTTCGACTACCCAGACGGACGTCGTCGTGCCCGTGGTCGTGGTCGTGGTCGTGGTGGTGGTTCTGGACGCCCGAAGTGGGCACGGACAAGAATGGTCCTACTCCCACTCCTCCTCCTCCGCCTCCTCCGCCTCCTCCTCCTCCTCCGCCTCCTCCTCCTCCTCCTCCTCATCCTCCGCCTCCTCCGCCTCCTCCTCCTCCTCCTCCTCCTCCTCCTCCTCCTCCTCCTGGTACAATGCCCAACAACAAATGTTGTCCCAGACCAACAGCGGCCGCTGTTGGGCAGGCGGCCTTCTGTCTCGATTTGACACAGGCCGCGGCGGCGTGGACAGCGAGTCCGGTTCAAAATGAACAAGAACTGCTGTTGGGCATTGTACCCATTGCTTCCGTACCCGTTTCGTTCGTGCCGAGTGGTCGTGGTCGTGGTGGTGGTGGTGGTCGTCGTCGCCGTCGCCGTCGCCGTCGCCGTCGCCGTTGCCGTCGTCGTCGTCGTCGTCGTCGTCGTCGTCGTCGTCGTCGTCGTCGTCGTCGTCGGAGAGCGCCGAGGAGCTTCCCGCCGGGTAGCTTCTTCGGTGCCCCCCCGGCGTCTGAGGTGCCCCCCCCCAGGGGATGGCCCGCCACTCTCGGAGCGGTACTCCAGATTTCGTAACAAAAGGGAGGGGGTCTGGACCCTCCAAGACAAGCCATCTCAGACCTCCCCCGTGGGAGAACCCTCCAAAACATCGTCCGCAGACCCCCCAGGCCCTCCAAGATAGCCTTGAAGAGACCCCCCCCTCGAAATGAGACCCCCCTCCCTTTCTGACGAAATCTGGAGTAGCCTGCCGCGCGCGCCTCGCCGAGGGCCCCGCCTGCGTTAGCTGGCAGCTGGCAGCCGGGTGTCTCCCGGTGGCCTTCGTGGGCCTTGGAAACGACAGGGCCGTTTTTTTACCGGTTCCGTTTTGCCGTTTTTGTTGCCGGTTCCGACGCCGTTTTTTTGCCGGTTCCGTCGCCGTTTTTCGACCGGTTCCGGCTCCGGTTCCGATCCTGGAGCCGTTCTTTGGCCGTTTCCGGTCGCCGTTTTTTTGCCGTTTCCATTTTCAATTGACTTTTTTTGGAAACGGTGAAAAAACGGCCTTGCCGTTTCCGGGGCCCACAGAGCGGGTGGCATTCCCGGGGGGCTGCATGGCTCGTCTCGATTCTTCCAGCTCGATTCGATTCGACTTCGATGGCCTCCGATGCCGATTCGATTCGACTTGGGATTCCGATGTGGGTTCTGACTCCTCACTGGAGGCATGCTATCCTGCAGAGTTCCGCCGATTCGGCTTTTTCCGACTCGGCTGCCGATTTCCACCGATCCGATTCATCCCGATCGCAGATCCGACTTCTCGATTCGATTCTGGGCTCTCATGGGGCTATGGATGTGTGCTGTCCGATGGGGCTCCCCACTCGAACGGGAGCCCCGCTCGGGTCCGACAACTCGCGCCCATAGCCATAGCGCCTCCATTGCCTCGCCCTTACCTTGCCCTTTCGGTTTGTTTGTTTGTTTGTTTGTTTGTTTGTTTGTTTGTGTGTGTGTCGTTCTTTCATCAGTCCTGTGGCGCTGGTGGGGGAGGCGTCTCAGAGGGCGCCCCTGTGCCCAGTAGCTTTGGGGATCGACTCGGCCAAAGTTGGCACGTGAGGTGTGGGGACGAAGACCGCTAGCAGCCCCCGTCCATTTTCAACAGGGCTCGCTGTCCGTGTCGTCACGGACGTTGTCCGCCTGAGACAAAAAGTCGCCCGCCCAACAGCGGCCGCTGTCGTTTCTGGACGGCGTTTGCTGTTGGGCATCGTACCCACATTTCTCCGTGCCCATTTCGGGCGTGCCAAGGGGAAGGCCGCGGGAGAGGGTCGTCTGCGAGAGATCTAGCGCGGCGGCACGGGTCCGATGCCGCATGAGGGCAAGCGTGCAAGCGCAGGCTCCTGAGGCAGTGGCCCGGACTTCGGGCGCCCGCGCGCCAGACTTGCCTGCGTGCTCCCGCGCACTCCCCAGAGAGCGCGCGCGCTGAGGGCCTCCTTCTCATCGAAGGAGCGCGCCCGAGCTCCGGAGTTCCTGCTCGTGCCCGCCTCGTGGCTGCCGCCCGTGGACGCCTCGTTCTCTCTTCCAGTCCCGCTGCCGCCCCGCTGCGGCCTCGCTGCCGCCCCCTCTGCCGCTGGGCCCGGGGTCGGGCTTCCGGCCGGTGCCCGCCTCGTTGCCGCGCCGTTGCCGCTCCGTTGCCGCCGCCCCTCTGCTGCTGGGCCCGAGCTCCCGAGGTTCGGCTCGCGCCTGCCTGGGCACTGCCCCTGCTGCCTGCTGGTTGCCGCCCGTTGCCGTCTGTTGCCGCCACGTTGCCGCCACGTTGTTTTGGGTTGCCTGCGCTGCCTCGCACTGCCCTGGGTTGCCCTGCGTTGTCCTGCGTTTCCTTGGCGTTGCTTCCCGTGGGCTTGCGTTGCTCTTGCTTGCTTTGAATCGTGCCCCGTCGGTTGCACTGATTCAGTTCATGGGGCGCACGCTGGGATCATGTGTTTTACGGCGGCCAGATCTGCACTTCCGTTGAATCTCAAAGGGGGCTCGCCGAAGACTGATGGGAAGGCCCTGGAGCATGGGCCTGAGGCATTTCTCGGTGCACCGAAGTGCCACTTAGGGCATATCAGAGCCCAGAGACTGTTTTTTTTTGTAACCCCTGGCGATAACTTGGAAAGAGCGTGCCCGCAGGGCCGGAGCAAAGGGGGGGGCCCCCCCTTAGCTACCCCCCCTCCCTTGGACCTCCCCTGCCTGAAGCCCTCCCCCTTTTGTCCGCCCCGCGGAAGCCACCCCCCCTCTCCCGCCTTTTCCGCCTCCAGAAGCTCCCCCCCCCTCCCCCCCTTCTGCAAAGGTGGGGGGGCGCTAAGCCACCCCTCCTCTCTTCGACTCCCCCTGCCGCCGGCTCCCCTCTCCTCCCCCCGTCTTTGTCGCCGTTCGGAAGCTCCCCCCCCCCCCCCTGTCGCCTTCCGGAAGCTACCCCCCCACCTCCCCCCTGTGCGAAAGGGAGAGAGGGGCGTAGCTACCCCCCCTCTCCCTTGAACCCCTCCCTGTCGGAAGCCCACCCCCTCCACCCCTTTTCGTCGCCGCCCCGAAGCTAACCCCTCCCTTCCCCCCTTTCGGCCTCTGGAAACTCCCCCCCCCCCCCTCCCCGCCTTTCCGCAAGGGGAGGGGGGGCTTGGCTACCCCCCCTTCCTTGGACTCCCCCTGCCGGAAGCCCCCCCCCCTTCTCTCCTGGGAGCGCCCCCCCCATCTTCTGGAGCCTCAACCGTCGCCCCCGGTTCCTCACATTTCGACCCTAGCTTTGACATTCCCAAACAATTGCCACTGCGACCCGCACCCACACACCTTATCCCAGACACCTTATCATGTACTCCAGATTTCGTAATAAAGGGAGGGGGGTCTCATTTCGGGGGGGGTCTCTGCCAGGCCATCTTGGAGGGCCTGGGGGGGTCCCGGGACAATGTTTTGGAGGGTTCTCGCACGGGGGAGGTCTGAAATGGCTTGTCTTGGAGGGTCCAGACCCCTTCCCTTTTATTACGAAATCTGGAGTACACCTCACCCTCAACCCTCCTGATTGTGCACCCGCCCGAACGCCCCCCCCCATCCCCCCACGAGCGCCCGGAACCGCACTCCCTCGCCCTACTAGAAGACGAGAGCACGAGAACACGAACCCGGGTCCGAGGAAAGAAGACCACGACCCAGGGGCCCCAGGGGCCGAGACAACGAGAACACGAGAAAACGAGCCAGGGTCAGAGAGAGCGAGACCGCGACCCGAGAGCCGAGAGAGCGAGAACAGGAAAAAACAGACCAGGGCCCAAGAAACCGAGATCACGACCCAAGTGCCAAGAAAGCAAGAAAACGGGAAAACGAACCAAGGTCCGAGAAAACGAGACCACGACCCAGGGGCCGAGACAAGGAGAAATTGAAACAACGAACCAGGGTCCGAGAAGCGAGACCACGACCCAGGGGCCGAGGAAACGAGAGCATGATAACGCGAACCAGGGGCCTAGAGAACGGTTATGCGACCAAGGGGCCGAGAAGAATCTAGAATCCGAGGCCACGACCCAGGAGCAGAGAAACCGAGACCGCGACCCAGGGGCCGAGAACGCAGAACTACGAGAAAATAAGGGCTCCCACGAGGGCGCGAAGTTATTCGCGCTTCGCGCTTCGCGGTCCTCGTTCCTTCTCCCCCTCCTCCTCCTCCTTTTCTCCCTTTCGGGGGGCGGCGCGAGAGCGCGAAGTTATTCGCGCCTCGCGGAGCGCGAAGCGCGAAGTTGGGAGCCCTAGGAAAACAAACCAAGGTCGCAGAAAACGAGCTTCGTAGCCATTCTGGCTCAAGACCGCACAAGTCGCATCAAGCTATTTGCAGTATTGCACACATACGTGATAAGGTGAGCCCATGGTGTTCACGGCTGTCTTCCACCTGCTACTGTTTGCCACCGCCGCTCTGCCACTGCAGGCCTTGACGCTGGAGAGTGCCGCAGATGAGGCGCTGCTCAGGCGTGCCAGTCATGGCGCCGCAGCTGACGACGCCGGCAGTCGCAGTGGCATGGTAGACCTCCAGCACCTCATGGTCCAACATGCCGCGTCGGAGACCGAGCTCCATGCCCGTGCGGCCGAGACGTGGCGCAAGTATGCTAGCCAGCTGGCCAGTAGTGGTTGCAGCTATAAAGGCGGTTTGCTGCCTTGCCCCAATGGCAACATCTGTTATTACACAGGGCACGGAGGCTTGAACACGACGGCCACAGTGGAGTATCGTGGGAATATCATCAAGACAGTCTTAACCCCCGACCCAGATGCTGCAGTCGACATGCCAGAAATCGTGACGTTTATGGGGGCTAGCACCGACGATGCTCCTGCAATGTTGATGGACGTACCTGCAGAATACCGCAGAACAGCGAACCCTGTGATGTTGAAGATGTTCTTCGTAGAGGACACTGATAACGTTACTGAGCAGTGCCCTCATGACAGTGAGCGCGTGGAGTCCGTGGGGAACAGCAGCGCGTCGTACAAGGTTGAGAACAACACGGTCGCAGTTTCAGCGCAAAGCCCAAACACGTTCTTGGGCATGGAATTCGATTTCGTCAGCGAGGCACCTGTGGGTCACACCCTGGCCTTCGAGATCCCTTCTGGGACGGAGATCGTCTGGGTGAGCCGTGAAGAGATGGTCGCGGTGCTCAACACGCAAGAGATGCCGGCTTCCCTCGAGAGGCGCTTGGAGGCTCAGTTACGCAAAGCTTCTTTGGCCAAGGGGATGGATGTCGCGCTCACGCAGAAATCAGACAGGCGGCGCAGGCGGCGCAGGGCTCCGTCGTGCACAGGTGAAGAGATTGGGCTCATGGCAGGAGGTGCCGCCGCCGTAGCCATCGGCTTCTTGGTCTGCGCGTTTACTTTCATAGGCTGCTTCACGGCGTCGCCGTTCTTGGTTACTATGGGCAGTATAATCGTGAAAAACGGTGCTTGCTCATGTTGGGCTAACGATGATACTGGGCGGACTTCCTGTGCGTTGCGGTGAGGGCGGTGAGGGTTGCGAGGGTGCAGCGGTCTGCAATTTCTGCTCCAACTGCAGTTGGCAGGCTGGCTGGCGACCACGTGGTGCATGGACGCCGTCCTGGCCAAGCCGGGAGGGTGTCCACGCCGCTCCTCGGCACAGGATGGGCCCTGGCCAGAGGCAGCAGATGTGCGTAGAGCTCGTCGCCCTGTGCAGGGCCGCGGGGCCTGTACCCAGACCACGTCCTGGGAAGTCTTCGCCAGAACGGAGCAAAGGGCTGGCCACCGAGCCCGCTGATGGGGCGTGGCCAGACACAGTGGACGTGCATAAACTCCGCCACCTGCAGGTAGCAGGGGGGCACCGTTGCCGCTCGTGGTGCAGGCAGCGGCGTACACCCGCATGTAGCAGGGGGGGCCATGTCCGCTCGCACCGCAGCAGGCAGTGTCTATTGCATGTTGTGCCTACTCAAAAAAAGATCGCAGAAAACGAAACCACGACCCATGAGCCGATAACACGGGAAACCAAAACAATGAGCCAGAGCCTGCGAAAGCGAGACCACGACCCAAGTGCATAGGAAACTAGAAACCGAGAGCACGAACCAGGGTCCGAGAAAACAAGGCCATGAGGGGGGAGAGAAAACGAGAACACGAAACAACGGACCAGGGCCCGAGAAACCGAGACCACGACCCAGGGGTCGAGATAACGAGAAAACGAGAAAACGAACCAGGGTCCGAGAATACGAAACCACGACAAAACGAGACAACGAGAAAACGAACCAGGGTCCGAGAAAACAACACCACGACAGAGGGGCGAGAAAACCGAAAGGAGAAATCGAACGAGGGTCTGCTAACACAGGGCCACGACCCAGGGGCAGAGAAAACGAGAACACGAGAAAACGAACCAGGGTCACAGAAACCAACCGTCACCACGACCCAGGGGTCGAGAAAACGAGAAATTGAGAAAACGAACCAGGGTCCGAGAGAACGAGATCACGACCCAGGGGCCGAGAAAACGAGACATCGAGAACACGAGCCAGGGCCCGAGAAAACGAGACCACGACCCAGGGGCCGAGAAAACGAGACATCGAGCAAACGAGCCAGGGTCAGAGAAGACGGTACAAAGACCCAGAGGCCGAGTGACTGGGAAAACGAGAAAACGAACCAGGGTTTCAGATAACGACGCCACGACCCATGTGCCGAGAAAACGAGAAATTAAGAAAACGAGCCAGGGCCCGAGAAACCGGGACCACGACCCAGGGGCAGAGAAAGCGAGAAACCAAGACACCAAGAAACCAAGAAAGTGAGAAACAGGGACCACGACCAAGGGGCCGAGACAACGAAAAAACGATAAAGCGAGGCAGGGACTGCGAAACCGACACCACGACCCAGGGGCCGAGAGAACGAGAAAACGAGAAAACGAACCAGGGTCCGAGAACACGAAACCACGACCCAGTGGCCGAGAAAACGAGAAAGCAAGAAACCGAACCAGGGTCAGAGAAAATGGTACCATTGCCCAGGGGCCGAGAAATCGAGAAACCGCGAGCACGACCCCGGGGCCGAGTCAACGAGAAATTGTAACAACAAACCAGGGTCCGAGAAGCGAGACCACGACCCATGGGCCGAGAAACTTAGAACACGAACAAAACAATCAGAGAAACGAGATCCTACCCAGGAGCCTAGAAGCGAGAACACGAGAAAACGAGCCATGTATCGAGAAAACGAGACCGCGACCCAGGCCCAGGGGCCGAGAAAAAGAGAAAACGGTAAAGCGAACCAGGGTCCGAAAAAACGGTGCCACGACCCAGGTGCCGAGAAAACGAGAAAACGATACAACTAACCAGGGCCAGACACAGAGACCACGACCAAGGGCTCGAGAAAACGAGACAACGAACCAGGATCTGAGAAACCGGGTCCACGACCCAGGTGCCGAGACAACGAGAAAACGAGAAACCGAACCAGGGTCTGAGAGAACGGTACCACGACCCAGCGGCAGAGAAAAGGAGACAACGAGAAAGCGAACCAAGGCCCGAGAAAATGAAATCACGACCCAGGTGCCGAGAAAACGAGGAAACGAAACACGGCCCGAGAAAATTGAGATGCCCACAGATAGTTCTGGTGAGTCCTGTTAAGTAGCGCCAAGATGTATTAATGTGTACTTACTTTAATTGAGCTGAAAATGAACTAAGATGAGCTAGTTCAAACTCTGATAACTAGAATAGTCTCTCAACTTCGCACGACCAAGGAAGTTAAGTTGAGTGAAGATGGCAAGTTAAGTGTATGTCGGTGAAGTTTGTTGAAGTTAGCGGGGCAGTTAGGAGAAGTTGAGGGAATATGGGGGGAGGTCATTATCCCGCCATCCTGTGGTGTTGGGTCCTCCTTTCTGAAGAGACTGTGCCCCGCGTTTCCTTCTTCCTTCCTTCTCCCCCTCCCCCCTTCTCCCCCTGAGGGGGCCCGTGCAGCGGCATCGCGACTTGAGGAGGGCTCAGGATTAGCGCTTGCGCTTGATGTGTACAAAGATTGTTTTGATGCGCAAAGGTATACACATGAATGTATGTAAGTGTGTATGTATGCATGTATGCATGTATGTGTTTGCACATATATGTATGTAGATGCATAGACGCAGAATCACCGCCAGCTCGGACACAGGAGTTGTGAGAACGTCTGAAGCGAAACGGCCCAGAGCACCGGATTTTGGCTGAACATGTCCACGTGCGCCGTTTCCTGGGCCAGATGGGAGTTCTATGAGAGCAGGAGCCCTGACAACACAACTGCTCGTTCGGGGAACCAACGACCTCGAAATCACCCCGGTCATCGCATGCGCCCTCAATGGAGCCGCGCAACTTCAGGACAAGGCCTCTGGGAGCCCAGAGTTGCGAGCTTCTCTCCAGCGTAACGGGCCACGACCTCTCCTGCGGCAGCTCGGGTCCCACAGTTGCGAGGATGCCTCAGGCGGAACGGCCAGGACCACGTCGCAAAAAGCAGCTCGGTGAAATAATCTGGAGGACATCTCCAACGAAGCCCCCCTTCCAAAGAGAGGGGGGGTAGCTTGCGAAGCACCCCCCTCATTTGCAAATGGGAGCCCGGGCTAACCTTCCGCTCCGAAAATGATTGGGGGGCCCCCATTTGCAATGAATGCACCCCCCTCTGGCGCATAGAAGGGAAGAGGGGGAGAGCTTCGGAAGCCACCCCCCTCTGGAAAGGAGAGCCCGGGCTTACCCCAGGCCCCGAAACGAAGGGAGGGAGGGGGGAGGGTAGCTTCTGACCCCCCCTCTTTTGCCCAAAGGGGGGGGGGTAGTTACGGACCCCCCCCCCCTTGACTAGGAGAGCCAGGGCTTCCTCCGGACCCCCAAAAGGGGGCGGGGTAGCTTCGACGCCCCCCCCCCCGCTTTTCAGTTAGGGCCTCCCCAGCATCATGACGCAGAACAGAGGAAGGGGGAGGGGGGTAGCTTCGGAAGCCCCCCCCCCTTTCTGAAGGGAGGGGGGGGGGGTAGCTTGAAGCTGGGACCCCGCTTTTCTTGTTCCCGGCCCTGCGGGCGCGCTCCTCCATGACTTGCGCGACCGGGCGGGTGGGTGTGGGGGAGGGGCCCAGTAACGTCACGATTTGCGCCAACGCCGTTTGGGAGTGCTTAGGAATGGCTCACTCCCAGACGGCGTCGCCGCGAATCGTGACGTGACTTGGGGGGGAGGGAGGGGCAGGGCCAGTCGCGGGCGTTATCACGAGTCTTGGGAAAGTGAGCTCCTGGCCACCTCGTCTCCCTCATGCCTGGCGCCGGCACCGCCCAGACATACTTCCACTGTGCTGTGTCGGCCCTGCGAGGGCGCCGCGCGCGCTGAGGTATCTTTTTAGTACGTCTTCGGCGGCGCGCGCTTTCTGGCCATCCGGCGTCTCTGAAACGGCCGATCGTTCAAGTTTGAACGATCCTCGCGGTGTCAGGACCTGACGCCGGGGTCGACACGACGTGAGCCTGCCGTGCCCGCCCTGCCCTCGGGTCGGGTCCGGCAAAGGCGGCTGTCTTGTGATCGGGCCCCGACGCGGGCAGTGAGGGGGAACAGCTCGAGCATCGCACGGCAGCCAGGACGCTGAAAGCCTGTCTTCGGTCCATGGTCGGCGTCACTCCAACATACTTCTACTATATGTGCGTCGCGTCCTCAGGGGCGATGCGCGCACCGAGAAATCTTATAGTATACGCGTCGTGGCGGGCGCTTTCTGGCCACACCGCTCGGGAAACGATAATACTACAAGATGGGTATACTATATGTTCTGGCCGGACGCGTGCCTCCAAGCAGGACATCTAGTATTAGTATGTCTCTGTGCGTCCCACATGGTCTCGAAGCTCGCCCCCAAAAAACTAGAGGCCTCCAGTTCCTGGCCCTTCTCTTGGGCCTCAGGAGCCTCTCGCGTCGGCCGCGGCGCCCTCGCGAGAGCTCCCCGCCGTGCGCAGCCGCGGGCCAGGGAGGATCTTGGGATCCAGTTCCCCGCCAAACGCCTCCTCGGGCTCCCTGGCCATCCCCCTTCCCCCCCTTTACCCCCTCCCCCTGGATCCCCGGAGATGTTTCTGATCCTCTGGCGCGCAGCGGGCGTTACCCAGACCCCACCCCCCCTGGGTACTCCAGATTTCGTAATGAAAGGGAGGGGGTCTGGACCCTCCAAGACAAGCCATTTCAGACCTCCCCCACGGGAGAACCCTCCAAAACATCGTCCCCAGACCCCCTAGGCCCTCCAAGATATCCTGGAAGAGACCCCCCCCGAAATGAGACCCCCTCCCTTTATTACGAAATCTGGAGTAGCCTTAACCATCATAATGAGAGGAGGTAGCCTTAACCGTCGTAACATACTTGTGTGTCGCGCGCGCACTGTGGCGATCGCAGCGCATCCCCCCCGACGTGCCCCATCCCGCACCAGCGTTACCGTGGCCCAGAGCCCCAACCCCCCTCCCCCTCCCCTCCCTCCCTCCCTCCCTCCTTCCCTCCCTCCCTCCCTCCCCCCTCCCCCCCCCAAGGGCAACGGCCTTCACCCAGAAACAGGACAGAAGCAGTGTTTGGGGGCCGCATGCTCGGGGGGGCGATACATTGGGGGGGGGGAAGCGGGGGCTGCCGACGAGGGGCACCTTAGGGTCCCCAAGGGGGCCTTGAGGGACTGAGAAGGGCACCTTTCTGCCCCCCCCGCTCTCGCGCCCCCCCATGAAGTCGCGCCCAGAGATCCTGCAAGCTGCTGCTGCTCCTCCTCCTCCTCCTCCTCCTCCTCCTCCTCCTCCTCCTGTGGTCGGTCCTGCACCCCCGCGTGTGAGGCGGTGGCAGGGTGCTGGCCCCGGCGCACCTGCTGGCGGCCTGGCGGCGAGGGCCCGATGCCCGCGGGCGCCCTGGCGCAGGCCTGGACGGAGGGGGGCCTCTGGGCGCCCAGCGCCGCCGCGGCCCGGCGCGGAGCGGGGCAGCGGACGGCCTTCGAGGACCCCGCCGGCGCCCTGCTCGTGCTCACCGCCTCCTG